TCCGGCTGCTGCCTCCCCTGTCCTCAGCCCCGCAGCCGGGTGGGATGGCCGGTGCTCCTGGTTCCTCCTGGTGGCAGAGGCACTGGGGAGCTGGTGGTGACACCAACCCGTGTCCCACCAGCACAGCCTTTGCTCTCCATCCCCTGACTGCATGGTATGGCTGACACCCAAATACTCATGTGTGCGCTTTCCTTTGTACTCTTTCAAGGTCTGCTTTCTCCTCGGAGGCCAAGCCAAAGCAGAGAGCTGCCCAGAATGAAGGTCCTCCTTCTGCTCCTTCTCTCCCCTCTCCAAGGTAGATTCCCCCAACCATGTCCTGCCCCAGGATGGTGGGCTAGGTTTGGGCTGCTGGAAGTAATTGTCAGCCCCAAAATACTGGTTGGGGGGCATGAGGGACATTTGCAGCTGTAATTTCCACTAAGGTTTCATGGGCTGACATGGTGGGACCTCTGGGGCAGGACGGGTCCTTTCCAGGGAAAGGAGATGGTCTCCATCCATCCCTTTTGGGGATGGAGATGTCTTCTGTCAGTCTCTGCCGGTATGGGTGGTGGCATCTGGGAGAGGGTGGCCCCAAGAGACAAGAGGTCCTGCTGCCCTAGGAGCCCTGGCGAATCGTTCCAGCGTGGCTGTGGGGACATCGGGGAGGTGGCTGACACCACGCAGCCCGTCCAGGACAGCAGGGGCAGAGAGCCCGGTGTGCCACGTGCGATGGCTGCTGCAGGGGTGTGGAGTTTGCCAGGGGCAGCCCCTCCAGCTCAACTGGTGTCTCCATGTTCTTGTGCAACTCAGGGGTGGGAGCCAGTGGCCACCGGGAAGAGGATTTCCGCTTCTGCGGTGACCGAAACCAGACCCAGAACAGCTCCATCATCTACGAGCACGGCCCTGCCACCATCTCCATCGAGAACACGGCCCAGGCGCTGATCATAAAGAGGCCCTTTTTGCCAAGCAGGAGAAACTCTTACTACAAGTACCGCTTGCCCCCCACTTTGGGCAGGTACCGCTTCTGCGTCTACTGGTTCAAGGTCAACAGGACCCTGAGGCTGGCGTACGGGAAACAGAGCTTCCTCCTGGGTGGGGACCCATCCAGCAGCATCAGCCGGGGGAAGGAGGGTCAGAACACTGAAAGAACCAACACCTCCATCTTCAACGTGTCCTACATCTTAAAGGGTGGGAAGAACACCTCTCTTGACAGTGCATCTGAATACTTCTTCCCTGGTAAAGACAATGATTTTCATGAAATCATAGAATCATAGAATAGAATCCCAGACTAGTTTGGGTTGGAAGGGACCTTAAAGCTCATCCAGTTCCAACCCCCCTGCCATCAGCAGGGACACCTTCCACTAGACCAGGTTGCTCAAAGCCTCATCCAACCTGGCCTTCAACACTTCCAGGGAGGAACAGCCACACTTCCTTGGGCAACCTGTTCCAGTGTCTGACATCCCCAGCTCATTGTAGCCATCAGTAGAGCATTGGTGGTGTCCCACTAGATGGCAGAGCATGATGATGTGAAAACACAGCTGAAGGGTGATGAAAGGGGACACAGGTTTGCCTGAAGCAGCCCAGAGGCAGGCCTGGTACCCAGGCTCCCTAAAGGTGAAGATGGAGATTTTCAAAGGTGTTTTGCCCCTTAAAATCCTGGGAAATCGTGGGCTTTGCAGAGGTCTCCGAGGGTCCCATCTGCACTGCTAGGCACCTAGCTAGCCTCAGCCAGCCTGGTCCCAATGGCCTTGATGCATGAGCCGAGCTCCGGGCGGCCAGAGAAGCCCTCTGGGTGGAGGTCTCTGTGAGCTCCCTGGGCTTAGGGCCACCTTGAAGCCCTCTGCTTTCTGCTCCCACCAGAGCTGCTCCCAGTTGGTTCGGGGCATGGGGAAGCCAGCTCTGCCCATGCATCTCATGGCATTTCCTTCCATGTGTCCATCAGCCTCTCCAGAGACCATGCCTGTCTGGGAGCAGGACGTGGAGACACAGCTCACTGCGTTGAACAGCCTCATCACCCAGCCCCTGGCACCTGCCATGGGAGCCCCGGAGCAGCAGATGCTTCGGAGGTGAGTTCCTGCCTTGTGCCATTCCCGTTGCTGCCGCTGAAGTGCCTGCTGTGTCCTGCTCACTGCACCCCTTCCCCAACAGCAAGCTTGCAGAGCTGGAGAAGACGCTGGCCAAGGTGGAGCTTGAAGGGCAGAACCAGACCTTTGGGAATGCCACGGTGCATGCGACCGTCCTGAGGGTCCAGCCCACTCAGACTCCTCAACACCTGGCCTTTGCTTCCCAAAGAGAGGTAGGTCCTAGGCAGCCTTGCCCTGGTGGTCTTGGCCCACTGGCATCCTCCCCCAACTTCTCTCCTGATGAGTCTCTCTTCGCAGGAGGGTGGGGCGGTCCATGGGTTCACGGTGGACCTGCCAAGCAGCCTGTTTGTGATGGTGAAGGAGAGGGAGGAGATGGTGGAGCACAGGGTGCTCCTCATGGACATCAACAGCCAGACCATGTTCCAGGTAAGGTCCATGTGTGTGGCATGGTGGGGTGTCCTGCTGTGCCGGGGGCTGTGGTGGTACCAGGCAGCAGGGATGCCACCCAGACCAGGGCGCTGGTGCTCGCTCAGAGAAGATGCTTCATAGCTGAACTAGAAGCTTGACAGGGAAAGAAGCACGGGATGTACTTCTTGGAAACTCTCACTTGCTTCATGCCCAGCAGCAATCCCTTCCCATGCTGCCATTGCCTCCTCTTCTCCCACAGGATAAAAACAGAAGCCATGTCCTGGGTGACAAGGTGGTCGGCATATCCCTAGTGGACATGGTGGTAGCCAACCTCTCTGATCCAGTGGTCCTCACTTTCTTCCATGACCAGCTGCCGGTAGGTGGGGAAACAGCCTCCTCAAACCTGATCCCACCAGGAAAGAAGAGGCAAGGAGGGCTCGGGGCCTCCCAGTTTAGAGAGTGGTCCCAACCCAGCAGGTCCATGCCCTTGGCCTGCCTGCACAGGTTCTACTATGTCTTCTGGGGTGGTTGTGCTGCCTGTGCCTATCCGGGAGATGTCACCTCCAGCACAATCTCCAGGGCTGGGGGACACCTTGAGTTAGCAGTCCCTTGGCTCATTCATGGTCCTGTCAGGTGCCTGCTCAAAGCTGAACCCCTTGTTTGAAAAAGGGGACCTGGCAGGAGGTATCTACTCCATGAGCTGCCAAGAGAATGGTCTCCACTTGGAACCTGCTCCCATGATACGGGACAGTTTGTCTCCTGAGACTGTCTCGCCTCTTGCCCCATGTTCTCCCCTATCAAGTGTGCTGGCCAGGCAACAAACCCCCAGCTGCATCCTGATCAGGGCCCATGGTTTTGTCATTTCAGAGGAACGTGACCCCGCTGTGTGTCTTCTGGCAGGAGGACACCACCGGTGAGTGCTCCTGCACTTGTGCGTGAAGCCAGGCGTTGCCTTTGCTCCTTTTGCAGGGTACCACAGACCTGCTGGTAGGAGAAGTTGCTCTGTACCTCCCGCCCTCGCTCCAGCTCCATAAACCTTTCCCACGGGGCTGATTTCAGGTTTTCCCCTCCATAGCTGACCTAGGAGCTTTCTCCCTCCCTAGGGATGGGTCCTGCTGCTGAGGGTGCTTGCTGAGTGTGTGTGCTTGGCATGGGACAAGCTGGGAACCCCTACTTCTGTCCTCTCCCCTGCCATGGACACCTTGCCCTGAAGATCCACGAACCTGAAGCAGATGTTCCTGCTGCTCACCAGACACTCTCCCTTTCTCTTGTGCAGCCAGCTCTGGCAGCTGGGACAGCTATGGTTGTACAACGGTGACGGGGGGTAGCCAGACGGACTGCAGATGCAACCACCTCACCTACTTTGCCGTGCTGATGGTGGGTAGTGCCTTCCCACAGCTCCCTACATCGTTCCCACCAGCTGGTTTTCCTCACCATCTCTCGTTCCTCCTCCTCCTCAGGTGTCCTCCCCAGAGATCACCTACATACACAGGGATTACCTGAGTATCATAACCTACATCGGCTGCCTGATCTCAGCTTTGGCATCTATTTGCACCATCTTCTTCCTCTACTTCAGGTACGGTCTGCCAGGTCACTCCACACTCCCCATCTGCATCCTGTGCATTGCCACCACACCTAGGTGGCTGCAAGCTCTCCAAACACAGTTGGTGGCCTGGCTAGAAGCATGATGAAGGAGCCATGCTTAAAGAAAGCAGAGTTCTCTCCAGAATCCACCCCCTTGGTCAGATCTTCCACAGGGCACTTGAAAACACAAGCTGAAAATCAGCTTGGTTGTTGTTATGGATCCAGCAAGCAGAAGCCTGCACAGACCTTTTCAAGTGTCCAGTGGAGAACATGAGTGTCTTCTGAGTTGTATCACTGATCCTACGTAGATGATTCAGAGCTGAGATTCTGTCTCTCCCTAACCCCCATGGCCTAGACCTGAAATGCCGGGTCAGCGGCAGGGACCTGAACTTGCACACATAATGGGTGGTCCCACTCATGGGGTTAAGCTTTCAGCCCCTGATGCCACCAGAGAGTCTCCTGGCTCTTCTGGCTGGGGTGAGTTGCCCCATGTGGAGCTATGAGGTGTTGTGGGACACCAAGGATGCTGGCCAGGCATGGTGGTGAGGTCCCCCTTCCTCACTTCTCCAGAAGCAAGCAGCGAGACCAGATCACGAGCATGCACATCCACATGAACCTGCTGGGCGCCATCTTCCTCCTGGACGTCACCTTCCTCATCTCTGAGCACTTGGCTTCCAGCAGCAGCGAGGCAGTCTGCAGAGCAGGGGGGCTGTTGCTGCACTTCTCCCTCCTGAGCTGCCTCACCTGGATGGGCATCGAGGGCTACAACCTCTACCGACTTGTGATTGAAGTCTTCAATGCCTACCATGACCACTTCCTTCTCAAGCTCTGCCTGTTGGGCTGGGGTGAGCATGGGGGAGGCAGAGGTGCCCCGAGGGCACAAGCACAGGCAACGAGGTGGAGGGGCACCTGGGTGGGTCTTTCCCACCACGTACAGTGCTTGGATGGGGATGGAGATTAAGCTGTGTGAGAGCAGATGACTGAGGGAAGAGAGGTCTCTCTGTCAAGAGACTCCATGGAGAAGGAGACTTGGTGGCTGAGAGCAGAAGATGGTGCTAGAGCAAGGGTGGGTCACCCTGGTGGTCACCAAGCAAGGGAGGCATGTGAGAGCCACTGCTTGAAGTCTTCAAATAGTAATGGGATGCTCTCTTTCTAAGAGAAACATCCAGCACAGCCCAGAGAGATGGGCTTGATGCAGGAAGCACAAATGGATCTCTGCCATGCTTTGGGCAGGAGGCTGCAGTGGGAAGATCTCATGATCTTTTGTGGCCTAAAATTTCACAGCCCTAGGAGGCCCCCGGCTGGGGTCGGTGCAGCACAGCTTGCTCCTGGGCCAGGACTTACACCAGGTGTCCTTGTTGTGTGCTCCTTGGTTCCCCTTGGGAGGGAGGACGTTGCTTTGTACTCTGTACAGGGAGAAAGGGGCAACAAGTCCTTCCAGAAGGTCTGAAGACCTGGGACTAGGGCATCTGCTTCCTTCTGTTCTCGCCACCCAGGACTCCCCTTCTTCTGTGTGACGCTGATCTTCCTGGCTAGCTGGACAAACTACGGCCCCTTCTCCATTCCCATTTATGAATCTGTTGGTGGCAAATCCACCAACGCAATCATGTAAGTCATGGGAAATGGGTTGCCTGGTCCCTGGTCTTAGAGGAAGTAAACTGGCTAAACCTTCACCAGGTCTTACAGACTTTCCTCAGCCCAACCATGGCTTTTCTGGGGCTTTGTGCAGGGTGGTGGTTGGGGATCCTCCCTCCCTGTGTAACTAAGCTGGGTGCTGGGTTTGCACCACACCTTTGTGCTTCCCCAACCTCTCCAGCTCACACCCCTGTGGGATGACATGGCGTAACCTTCTGCACTTTCTCCTCTATCCAGATGCTGGATCACAAGCCCCCTGATCCATAACGTCGTGAACCTGGGTTTCTTCAGCCTGGTGTTCCTCTTTAACTCGGTCATGCTGGGGGCCATGGTCCGGGAGATCCTCCGGCACAACAAGAAAGGCCACAAGCTCAAGCATGTCCTAGCCCTCTTTGGGCTGAGCATCCTGCTGGGCATCCCCTGGGCACTGGTCTTCTTCTCCTTCACCTCTGGCATCTTTCGCCTAGTGTCCCTTTACATCTTCACCATTGTCAACTCCCTCCAAGGTGAGCCGGGGACTCTGGGCTTCTCTGAAGGGCACCGGAGCTTCCGTGGGGTGTTGGTGGGGTGGTGATGGGGTATGAGAGGAGCTGTCTCTGGCAGGCTGGCTGTCTCACTCTCAACTGTTGTTTGTCCTTAGAGGGGATTCGCCCACCTGTCCTTCCCTTTGGGTGTCATAGAATCATAGAATGGTCTGGGTTGGAAGGGACCTTAAAATTCATCCAGTTCCAACCCCGACACCTTCCTTGCTCAAAGCCAGCCTGGCCTTCAACACTTCCAGGGAGGAGCAGCCACAGCTTCTCTGGCCAACCTGGAACACTGTCTCACCACCCTCACACCAAAGAATTTCTC